GCTACGAGCATCCCAGGTGATGCTACGGGTATCCCAGGTGATGCTACTAGCATCCCAGGTGATGCTACGAGCGTCGGACGTGGTGACCGGAGCATCCCACTTGATGCTAGTAGCATCGCACGTGATGCTAGTAACATCCCACGTGATGCTAGTAGCATTCCACGTGATGCTAGTAGCATTCCACGTGATGCGGGTAGCATCCTACGTGATGCTAGTAGCATCCCACGTGATGTTACTGGCATCCTAGGTGATGCTACCAGCATCCCAGGTGATGCTACTAGCATCCCAGCTCATGCCTCTAGCATCACAGTTGGTTCCTTTGGTGAGATCCTAATTTGAAATTTACACAGTTCGGAGCTCATTTTTTTGACCCTGAACTTTATAACCTCAGCTGAGGTCAATGAGTAAAATGTGGATGCGTAAGTGAGCTCCAAATTTGGAGTTTACGGAGTTTGGAGCTCACTTTTCTTGACCTATTTATCACATAGTTTTTCGAATATTGTTTGATTTAATTTAGGTTATGTTGGAAATGAAATGTCTGAAAAAGCTTTGGATTTATTTGAAAAGATCGATTTAAAATTAGATGATGTAACTTATGTAATTGTTTTTAATGCATGTGCTAAACTCGCTAATGATCAAGCAATGAAAATTGGAAAAAAACTTCTTGATGAGATGCCTAATAATTATCGAAATAATAATATTGTATTAAATGCAGCAATGGATATGTTAATGAAATTTGGTGATGTTCAAAGTGCTGAACGTATATTTGATTCAATCAAGAAGAAAAATATTATTAGTTATGGTGCTCTAATGAATGGTTACAACATCAATAGTAAACCATGGAAATGCTTTAAAATTTTGGAAGAAATGAAACAAGAAGGTGTTGTTCTGAATGAACATACATGTAATATACTTATTGGTACATGTTCAAAAATTGGTATGATTCGACAATGTCAGTACATTATTGATCAAATTCCTTTGCATATTCAAAATCTGAAACAAATACAAACCTCATTGATTAATATGTGGGTAAGTATTGATGGTTGATTATCATTGACTAGTCGATTTAATTAACTAGTTGTTTGTTTTGTCATATAGAGTAAATGTGGTTCTATTGAAATGGCACAAAATATATTTAAATCAGTTCACGATCAGGATATAATGATATACAATGCAATGAGTAATTTTATTTATTTTTATTTCTTGTTTGTTTTAAATATTGAATAATTTATTTTTTTGTTTTAAGTTAGTGGATTTGGACTTAATGGAATGGGTCTTGAAGCTGTTGAATTATATAGAAAAATGCCGAATGAATTGCAAAATGAAGTTACACATATTTGTGTATTAAATGCATGTTCTCATTCAGGTCTTCTTGATGAAGCTCGAAATATCTTCAATGAAATTCCTTTCAAAACAGAAAAAATCGTAACTGCTATGGTTAGTTTTTCTAATATTTTATTTATTATATTAGCTGTAATTATTTTATATTATATTTAAGACTGATTGTTTAAGTCGTTTGTTTTTATTTGATGAAGCAGAAAAGTTGATAGATGAATATGAAAAGACAAATTCACCAAGTTTTATCATGTATAGTAAGTCTTTTTCATAATATTATATTGATGTATTGTGTATTTATGTATCTTCTATAATTTTAGTGTGTTTATTATCTGGTGTACGTAATAATCGGAATAAAAAATTATCTGAAAAGATATATAATCGAATGAAATCTTTATTTCCTGATGAAAAAGAAGGTCTTACATCAGGTACAATCCTTGTATCAAACATATATTCATCTGTTGGTGAATATCAACAAGCAAAAGAATTTCGATCTAATCAAATGAAAGAATTAAGAAAGAAAGTCAAATCAGGATTATCATGGACTGATGGAAGTGGTGAAATTGTGGTAAAGTATTTCTATTAAACATTAAAAAATGAAGAAAGTTTGTTTTGTTTTCTAGGCATTTTCAGCTAATGATAATTTTCATCCTCAATTAGCCGAAATTCATGCTGAAGTTAATCGAATGACATCTGAAGTGATAAAACTTGGTTACAAGTGCGATTCTTCCTGGGTTACTCGTGAACTACAGGAAGAAGAAACAATTGAATCAGCTTTAGGTGGTCATAGTGAAAGATTGGCTTTAGCCTTTAATTTTATTCAACGACCTGTTCCAGATTTTATTCAAATTGCCAATAATCTTCGTATTTGTGGTGATTGTCGTAAGTTACAATTATTCATCTCGATCGTTTTTTTTAGTATATATATATCTTTAATTTTTAGATCAATATACAAAACTGGTGGCTAAAGCTCGACAACGTGACATCATCATTCGGGATGCTAATCGCATTCATCATTTTCATAAAAATGGACTATGTTCTTGTCAAGATCATTTTTGATCTTTTTTTTTCTTGTTGTTTTTTTTGTTATTAATATATTGTTGAATACAGAACTCTTTATCTATATCATATATTTCACATGCATATCAGAAAAGAGGCGGAATAAGCCGGATTACAGAATATTATTATTATGATTATTCGGTTTTGCACGTAATTTGACGAAAGAAAAATTCATATTTTTAATTCTTTCTGTTCTACATAACTGTGAATCTCTTTTTTTTCTGTTTCAGGAATTATCTGCAGTATTAACTCGAAACGCTCATGAAATTTGGCCAAAACACTTAACAGATCGTCTTGCTGCTATTGATAAATTATTCTATTTAAATTTCTTTCATATATTTTTCATATTATTTAGATGGTGGTCTTCATTGTCGACTTGTTCCATTTGAATGATTAACTGATAAAGAAAAACAAAAAGATATAAAATTTTATCAAGATCTTGTTCAATATCTTCATACATTTGGTTATCGTGTTATCAAGTAAAATATAAAGAATAAAAATGAATATATTTTTATGAATTTATTTAGAAATTTTCATGAAAGAAATTCAACAATTTCAAATTTAACTTCACGTGTTGCTTCAACATCAACATTAATAAATGATAAATGTTTTGCATATAGTTTATTAGAAAAATGATTTGAACATGTTGAACGTGCATCAATAACAATGCAATTATAAAGAAAGTTCTAAATTTTCTTTACATGAAATTTATCGTTTAACAACAAAAAAGTAAAATTTTTTGGAAAAATAAATAAATAATCTCTAGGTTGTTCTACCACTTATTGAAAAATATTTTCAAGCACATAGAAATTGTTTTATTATACCACCATTATTAAAAACTGGTGTTAATTATGCATCAGTTGAAGAAGAAGAAATGAATTGTAGTTTATTTTGTAAATTAGCGTTGTTATTTCGACAAAGATTTAGTGCATTTGGAAGTGATGTTAGTATAACTGTTCGTTGTTTAAAAGTACTTGTTCATGCTATTGATGTTGGGTATGTATATGTGAAATATGACATCAATCAAAAGTTTTGATCGAAAAATTTTCATTTATTTTTTTTAGTTCAGTAATGAAAAATAGTCAAGAAATGGTTCGTGCTTCATTATTACTATTATTTAATAATATTGCTGAAGATCTTAATCAAACTGTACAAAATCTTGAACAAAAACATGATAGTAATATAAAAGGAACATTACAACGTGGAACAACTAGTCTAGCTTATATATACATGGTTCTTTTATCTCTACGATCATCATTACTTGATCATTTAGGAAAGAATAATTATGGTGTAGATGTATTCGGTATGACATTTACAAGATGAATAATTAGTTTGAAATTTAAAAAAAATAAGAACAAATGATTAGTTTAAGAATGTAGAGTATGGATGTAAGTTTGTAGTCGTCAATCAGTAAATTGACTCTAGGTCCTTGAAAATCCAATGAAAACAGGATTTACTATATACCATTCGACACACCTCAAAAAGCTCTACAATATCGGATATTTTGTTTTTCATTTCTCAATAGATTTCCTTATCCGAAAAAATTCTTTAAACGCTGTAGCTAGAACTTTTGGTATCCCCTAAGTATATGCACCTCTTGTTTTTGAAATCGATAGAATTCTACTTGATCAATTTTCAACGCTGCGAATGGAACTATTTTTAGGCACACATGTCATACCTGTTTTTATTTCATTTCAGTACATATCGTGGTTAATATAATTCCACACATGATAATCCGAAATGTCGAGATTCGAATTATCCTGTGGTCGTGTATTTTCATCAATAAATTGAGTCAAGTTGTTCTTAATTCATACTAGTGAAACGCTATGCATATACGTCTTTGAGTTGTTTTGTTGATAGATAACATCATCACCTAATAGTCGTTGACCTTCAGCTCGTGTATGTAGAAAAACAACAACTTCCACATAATTTTTGTGTGTTAATATGTTTCACTGGATTCAACAACGAGTGGAGATTTTTTAATATACTAAATCATACCATAATTCTTTTTTAAAATCCGACTGTTAGTCTCATTCGTCTACGTTCATCTACTTCTTGTCAACATGAAACACAACCACGGTCATTATGATGATTGAATCTGTCATCCAGTTCAACATATTTTTTCTTGATCATTTTCTCTTAACGACTTTCGTACTCGATATGCAATTGATATTCTTCGTTGTTTGTGTTCGGCATGAAAATTTGACTCATGTGTAACATGATATAAGTATTTAAATGAAGAGATCCATCCTAAACTATATGACTCATTGCTTCCTTGGAAATATCAAGTGACGTAGCACTTTGACGGGGTGTGGGACGTGGGTGTGGGTGTGGATAAAGAGAGGAAGAGATGCACACCCCACCCTCAAGATAGTTCGATATTTTTGAGGAGGAACAGTCCTTGCCATCTTCTCCTTAATCGGTAACCTTATTCATGCTTCATATGTCTTCTCCACAGAATTATGATTGTTTCGCTAAATTTGTATTATAGAACGGAGTATTGCCAAGAAATTTTATGTATGAGGATATCTCATCGTCGTAAGAATATTCTAAAAGTTCCAATAAAAAATCTATTGCTTTCTTCTAGAAATATTCAATATTCAAAAAAAATCTCCCGATTTTGTTCTAATCATTTCTTGAACATCTCACAAATGAGACAATCGTTTTTGACTGAGATTTTTAGGATATTCTCCAGATGATAAGATCTACTTATAGACAAATTTTCAAAGTTGAAGTTCATTTATTTGATTCTTCTATCAATACTTTGTCGTATGGATGAAAGTCTAACAATATACGATAACTCACTTTAGGTGATTAACTTGCCAGTGGAAAAAATGTTTTACAACACTTGTAGACATATGTAAGAATGTGTTTGTTTTGGTGGAAGTCTCTCTATGTTCTATTGCAAATACTTATAGTTAACAGTTGATAACACGGATATTCATTTCATAGAGAAAGATATGTTGATTAGATAGACTTACCGATCATATCTTAGTATCAGTATGAGGTGCATAGTTATGAAATACTTCTAATAATTGATTTGCAAACAGATGTAAAATGAAAAATATTTTCATCAAATAATTCAGAAATTTTCGTAGAAAAGACTTGTTGTTTTTTAAATATACTATATTATAAGTTCACTAATGTTTTGTTTCATAGAAAATGACATTCGATTAGCTGGTTATAAAATTCTAAATGCTTTATGGATTATTGGGACAAAAGAAACACAACTTTTCAATCGGTAATTATCGATCTATGAAATCTTTAATTCATAATAAATGATATTTTTCTTTTTTTTGTATTTCAAAAGAATGGATTATTGAAGAATTGAATCATCATCTTCCATTACTTGGTGATTGTCTAAGTTCATTTACATCATGTTTTCCTGTAGCATTTTTTTAACTTGAATTTAGTACAAAATAATAAAAATGCATCAAATGTTTCACCATTATCACCAGAAGCTCATGGTTAACAAAAAAAATTTTAAACTACAAATATCAAATAATTTAATTTCTATTTTAAATAGATGTTATGACAAAGATTTCAAGAACAATTCCTAGTTTAACAAATTTAATAGCAGATATCGAAGAACATGCTGAATCAAGAGTAAAATATGAAAAGGCTCCTTATGTTGTTGAAGTTATTCTTCCATGTCTTTGTTCTTATTTATCATATTGGTGGTCAATGGGACCAGAAAAAGTTAAACAAATAACTGAGTATAAATTTTTCTTTTTTTCATTCTTAGTTTTAAGATTATAGTTTTTAATTTTCTTTTTTTTTATTAGACCACAGATAACAAATGTTACATCAAATCACATGAATTCTGTATTAGGTAATGTTTTGAAATTAATTAATAACAATATTGATGCTATGGAAGCTCCATGGATGAAACGTATTGCAGGTAAAATATTATTTTCTAGAGATGAATAACTAAACGATACAAAAAATTCAATATCTTCAGTCTATATTATCCAATGTGGACTGGCTCTTTTTTCTCGTCAACAAACTCTCTACTAATAAGAAAACTGTTCAGAGCTGTCAACTGTATCCTATTTAGACTTCCAATGTCGTGCAAAGCATTCAAAAACTCCTATTCTCATAAAATATAGATATATACTTATTCTCAGCAGCGGATCATTATCTATACATTTCATAACGAGTTAATATTAGCATCGGTATACATCTATGTATGTAGTATGTTAAGAACTGCATACAACTGAAAGTAAGTATCTCCCAGAGTACATAGTAACGTAATACAGTTTTCAAGATCAATAATGAGCACTGAATAAGAATCAATTATGGTTATATGAAATATACTTGTCATGTAGTTCAGAAGATTCGGTCCTCATCACAATGGAGGGATTGAGAGGGTGTGGGTGTAGGTGGGTGAGGGGTGGGTGCGGGTGGGGTGTGAGTGTGGGGTGTGGGTGGGTGTGGGTGGGTGCAGGTGAGTGTGGGATGTGGATGTGAGTTTTTGGGTAGAAAAGACCCACACCCACACCCACACCCACCCACACCCACCCATACCCATACCCAACCCACACCACACACCCCAACTATTTGTTTGTCCAACTCTACCCGTTACAGATCTTAGCGATTCAGACTAAATAATCGAAATTCCCAACAGCTTTATTAAATGATAGGAGAATTCCACTCGAGATATAGAAATAGAAGAGGCAAAGTTTTCTGACAATCGATCATGAATGGAAAATAAATATTGTATTTTACAGATTTTTCACTTTGTGAATTTGTCTTAGCAGAATGAAGTTACAACAGAAATGTGAGTGCTACATTTCAGCTTTCAAGGAGCTCACTAAAAAAAACCTTTTTTCATACTAATAATGTCTCTTAGAGCAATCACTTTTAAATACAGAGTTTATCTATGAGAAACAACATACATTGCAAAAACGAAAATAATGATAAATATTTCAAATAGTTACCAAAAAAAATATATTTACTATCTGTTGTGACACTCAAAAAAAATGTACCAATCATTTTTATCATTCTACGATGGAGTTTTGCACGCTAGCTATACTTTTATGTGACTGACATATTCAAGGTAGCTGCCAGGGAAAAATTAATTTTGGGTAAGGTCCTATGTGACTAAATAGTGCTTCATAATCCGTTCAAAAATACCTTCAAAAAATCGAATAAATATTCTACTTTCGACGAGTGAAAAAAATCCTCGGTTATTATAAAATCGTTTGAGAATTGATAATTATTTGAAAACTTGTGAGTGTTCTCTAATTCGATTTTCTGGAAAGCAGAATTTATTTAGAATTTTCAGCGCAGTAATTCAAAAGGCGGATCAGTCACTTAAATAGTGTAGAGCTGTAAAGAATTGTTTCATTATCTCGTAGAGCATCTCGTAAAAAAGTTAGAAATCAAATACACTTTTGTATGCAAATGATAACATATGGTTCGAATTTTATTTTGTGCGCGTTCGTAACTGACTATACTACGCACTTATCGGTAACAAAATCTCTTGTTTTTTTCAAAATATGGCTCTCTTTTCATGAATGGATGGTGCGTGAAACCTTGATTAGGTAGGCGATTCTTTCGTATCCATTAATCTTCATTAAAAAAAAAGCTAATTATACTGATGTTTGAAATTTTAATTTATATCTCATAAAAAATTTTATCATGATGATAATTGTCATCTTTCTCTTCCGCTTTATCTATACCTCAAGTCATCCATGTGTCATAGTCTCTCTTTCTCTCTCATAGATTATTAAGGCGCATCTTTAATCCTTTCTTTTTAATTAAATTTCTATGATTCTATGTTGCTCTTTCTACGCATCCATATCGGATAAATACTGTCGATCTTCGTACTTTAAAGATCGATCCACACAACATCCGTTGATTAGTATATGAAACTGCGTGAGCATCATTTGTATGAGTATTCATCACATGATTCCTTCACGCACTATCCAGTCAGTGAAATCTTGCTTTAGTTATACTTATCTTCTTTATTTCTATTTTCAGTTTCATTGTACAACCATTAATATTTGGCTTTTTCATCTGTTTTCTTTGAATTTCGATCACGAGTTGCTTTATTTCATACAAATTAAACGGACAGCAGCATAGAATAGGTAACTGTTGATTACTTTATGTGCAAGTTCTCCCTTCTAAATCAAGCATATTTCAAGTATCTAATTCGTTTTGAAATATTATTTCAGTTCTCGCGGCAAGCAACAATAGCACAACACCAAAGGATTATTCTGAAGGAATGCAACAACCAGAACTGTTCGCTATTCTCCTTATTTTTCTTATTCCATCGCTCAGTTGTACAATTTACCTTTTCGTTCAATTTGCTACGAACCATCCACTTCGTCAACAAGTCAACAATCGCATTACTTTGACTTTACTCATCGCTAATTTTCTACAAGTGAGTGACAGATATAATATATGATTTCTATAATCTCTCGAAAGATATCTCCTTGTTATTCAGACCATCACAGATATACCATTCATGTTGTCATTACTTTACAATGGTAATGTCTACCAATCAGAGTTTCTTTGTCAATTGTGGATATTTGCAGACTATGTTCTCAATGTGGTGATTCTAATGTTGGTTTTTTACGGTTCAGTCGAACGATATCTCTTGGTTTTTCATCATCACTTTTTTACTACACATATGATTCTATTACATTATGTTCCGATTGGTTTTTGTTTTATCTATCCTACTGTATTCTATGTCATTGTTCTATTCTTCTACCCATGCACAACTATTTTCCAATACAACATGTATACTTGTGGTGGACCATGCTACGTGTTCGATGCCAAAGTCAGTGCCTTTGATCAACTAGCTCATATCTTCTCTCCAGTAGTTGGAACCATATTGACTTCGATTATACTACTCTGGCGAGTCATTCGTCAAAAACAACGTATGAAGCAACGACATATCTGGAAAAAGAATCGCCGCATGACCTTGCAAATTTTGTCTGTTTGCTTCCTGCATACTATGGTCTGGGGCCCTATTGTAACTTTTATGCTGATTGTACTTTTTTCACCTGTACCACATCCAGATCTCGTTGATATTTTAATCAATTGGGTACCATTTGGTTACTTTTTTGTTATTCTTCTTTATCCGTTCTTTTTTCTTATCGGGCTACCGGAACTTTGGTTGAACATGCTCAAGTCGTTGCAGCGCCGCTTTCGTCTAATGACGAACATTGTTGGATCGTGAATGGGCATCTAATTATTTATATAAATTCTTATCTTATTAGCATTGAGACAAAAAACGACTTGCTAATATTTGCTTGATGTTGTATCATTGTGATATGTTGTCAATTTGTCGTGTTTATCTTCTAATAAAAAAAAAACATTATTCTAACAGAGTTCACTTGAATTATCGTAAGTGTCATCAGATCTATTCATTGATTGAAATTTCTAACAATGACTTTGTATGCCATGTTTTTTTTGCTATCCAACAGTCTGCAGTTAAGAAATTAAACTAACAAAATAAGCATTCGGATTGAAGATAACCATAAAATCATATGTTTATTATGAGCTGGTATCGTCTCTGAATCAAAAACTGATCGAAAAGCAATTGAAAAGAACTACGGACGATGTTTTCGAACAGAAGACATCGAGTTAGATAAGAGTAATGTTTGATATACGGTTGTTTGGATGCCGGAATGATGAACGAATGTAAATAATTGAAGTAGTTACATATGAAGATCGATTATTTCGGAAATATTTGTCAAATGCAGACAGACTGCGTAGTTTCATTGAACGTGATTGATGGAGATCTTTCATTGCTTGTCAACGCTTCCAATCGAAAATGAAAAGTTTTGTGGTCAAAATAACATTTCTTCTCTGAAGCTCCCTAGCTATTGTTTCCAAAGAATTTGCTGGAATAATTTTTTCATCAACACATCCCAGTGGATTATGGAATAAAAAAATTAATACAGCAATGAAGAGATATGTGTCTTTTATTTATTAAAATAAACAAAACACATTAGAATAGAACAGATGAATTTTTGACCTACTATGTAGACCATCATCAGACAAACTAAATATTAATACAAAAAATCGTTTCAGCAACATGAACGTTGATATCACGTAAGCCACCAACTTTTATTTCATTAAAATAGTTCATCATAAACTGCAAATATAATGATATCAATATAAAAAGAATGAATATAGCAATTAACTATAGAATAAAAGTTTTGATGTGCTAATGAAAAAATATATATTTGTTAATTATCAAAATAAACGAAATAAAAATTAATGATGTCAAGATTTGTGTTAGCGAAAATTTTTGTGTTTTAAGTATTCAACCTGTCAAATGGTGATCT